GTTTCCAAGTTTGAAGATGTTTTTTCTCCTGTCGCCTGGGCAACCCAGCCAACAATTGACCTTTCAGAGGCATAGCCCAGTATTGGGTATTGCAGGCTAACTAAGAACCTTGAACGACTCCACAATCCTAAGGTGCGGACATGTTCCTCTGGTTCAATTTGCATGTTTTCTATGAAGCCTCGACCTCAACGATTATTCTGACATTTTGAACTGAAAAAGCTTCCTGGATGGGAAGCAAAACGTCTTCAAACTTGGAAACAAAGTCCAGTGGATTGTTTTTTGGAATGTGTCTGCACACACACACATTCCACAGCATCATCTACATTAATATAACTTACTAACATTGCAAATCTGATCTTTATCAGCTTTCTTTTATTTCTATCTTTATGCTGGTGAAGATTCTCATTCATCCAGGTCAGTCATTCCAAAATAGAAAAAAGAAAATGTAAAACTTTTTATATATATATATATATATATTTTAACTATAACACTTCCTGGATGTGAAGCGAAATGTCCTAAAAATTGGAAACAAAGTTTTTAATTTTTTTCGCATTCTTACATTTTGCTCCTGACCTGTCCAGGGTGTGTTCTGCCTCTCGCCCATAGACAGTTGGAGATAAATGGGATAAAGCGTGATGGAAAATGAATGGATGGATGTTTTGCTCCTGCTATAAAGCAGGAATATATTTTGACATGCTTTTACAGACTTTTTTTTTTGTTGCTCTTCAGGCAAATATCTTTCTTTAAGTTTTTCATGTCTGATGAGTCGATTGTTGACTTCCTAGGGATGATGGATGGATGGCGTCCCCCTTAAAGATGCCAAGCTGACTGCAAAGGGAGATCAGAAAAAAGGACAATAGAGTCACCTGCAGATATATGAAAACTTTACAGATGTACAGTAAATAACCTCCACCAATCAGTTAAAAGAATAAATTTATTTATTTTAGCTGTTTGCAGAGGTATGGCCTGGAAAATTACTGTCCAAAACTAAAAACATCTATTAATGAAATATGTATCACGTCTCTGCAAATGTAATGATTCCAATTTTTTTTCCTTTCTTGAATGAACAAAGTGTGTCTATCAGTGTTTCTATCAGTGTGTCCTAAAAGGTCACACTGATAGAAAGCTTTTCCAAATTATTGTCATATTTCCTGTAGTGCTGAAGCTTGAGGAATACTTCAATGTATAATATATAACACATTTAAATCAGGTGAAATTCCCCTTCAAAACCTCATCAAATCTGCAGTAAAAGAACTCTATTAATAGTGGAAGTCTTGGTGCTTTCGGAAAACACATCAACAGTGACACCTGCTGGTAGTAAAGTGTATAAACAAATCTTTTCTCAAAGATCTGTAAAAAGGGGATAATAAAATTAAAAGAGTTGACTTACCAAGAAATTGCAAAAAGATGGTAAGCATAGAGAACGACTAAGATACAGTAGATTAAATTTGATCTTGTCTAGATAAAGAACTATGGGATATTCTTTACCCAAGTACAGAGATTTAACGTTTATATATTTGATAAATGCAGTTTAATTGCATTAAGAGACAGGGCCTCGTAATAATAATCTCCTTAACCATTTAAAGCCCGATCCAATAATNAGGACAATAGAGTCACCTGCAGATATATGAAAACTTTACAGATGTACAGTAAATAACCTCCACCAATCAGTTAAAAGAATAAATTTATTTATTTTAGCTGTTTGCAGAGGTATGGCCTGGAAAATTACTGTCCAAAACTAAAAACATCTATTAATGAAATATGTATCACGTCTCTGCAAATGTAATGATTCCAATTTTTTTTCCTTTCTTGAATGAACAAAGTGTGTCTATCAGTGTTTCTATCAGTGTGTCCTAAAAGGTCACACTGATAGAAAGCTTTTCCAAATTATTGTCATATTTCCTGTAGTGCTGAAGCTTGAGGAATACTTCAATGTATAATATATAACACACTTAAATCAGGTGAAATTCCCCTTCAAAACCTCATCAAATCTGCAGTAAAAGAACTCTACTAATAGTGGAAGTCTTGGTGCTTTCGGAAAACACATCAACAGTGACACCTGCTGGTAGTAAAGTGTATAAACAAATCTTTTCTCAAAGATCTGTAAAAAGGGGATAATAAAATTAAAAGAGTTGACTTACCAAGAAATTGCAAAAAGATGGTAAGCATAGAGAACGACTAAGATACAGTAGATTAAATTTGATCTTGTCTAGATGAAGAACTATGGGATATTCTTTACCCAAGTACAGAGATTTAACGTTTATATATTTGATAAATGCAGTTTAATTGCATTAAGAGACAGGGCCTCGTAATAATAATCTCCTTAACCATTTAAAGCCCGATCCAATAATAAAACAAAACAGAAAATTACTTTTTTTTTGCTTTGAAGTCCTTATTTGGCCTTTTAACAAAATATGTAAAAAGAAAAAACAGAAATACGTTTTTTATTTTAATAATTTATTACTATGCGATAAGTCAAGATTATTTTTTGTGTAGTGTTCTGCTCTCTGTTATCAGGTTTATCTGATTGTGTACAATAGGATTTTGAGCAAAGTTTTTACCATTAAATTATGCAAAAGGTGTCAGACGCAAAACATTTCAAAAACCGTATGTATCAAATATGATACATTTGGCATTACAGGGTTAAGCTCTAGAGGAGTTCCTGGAACAGAGTTGGCCTTCTTTATCAGCATGTTGAGCTTTTTAAATCAACATGCTGGTACCCCAACAGATAGAATAGATCACACTCTCCTCAAGAGACATATAGACATGGGTGGTTCTAGAGAGGGGCCAATGGGGGCCACTGTCCCTGTAGACCATGTCCTGGCTCCTGTTATGGCCCCTGTACTGAAGACATAAATATATGAATAAATCTTAAATAAATGACGATATGCGCTGGAAAAGACCTGGTTACTGATAGGTCCTTTGGATCTATTTCATTCTTTTTCTTTACAAATTCTGTTTTACTAAATATTTAAAAACAATGAGGTGATCGCTTCAGTGGGATTGAGATAGGATCCCAGTTTTCATCTGCTAAATGTTTTTTTCAATACAAATGAAAAAAAACTGTCTAATTTTTGACAATTCTGATTTGATAGAAAACTGTAATTTTAACTTAAATTAAGTTTAAAAAAAAAAATATGTAAAATTCCTACATTATTATTTGATCTTTTAACGATAATCCAAATGAACATTTTCAAGTCAAAAATAAATACTTTCAGTTGGAAGACATATAATTTTAATTAAACTTAATGGAAATTTCACTTCATGCAGCTCTCTTAATATATTTCAATCCCTTTACATGTGTTTTTGCTTCATGCTTTTCTGTGGCCCCATGAAAACATAATGCCCCCCCCCCGGAAAATTTGGTCTAGAACCGCCACTGCATCTAGAAGATATGAAATATCTTGCTGCAGCTGCAGTTATGAATAAAGTCTAGTTTATTTGCTAGGTGTGCATGAAAAAAGTATTATCCTTATGGTATTCGCATGTCATAAGGAGGGATGGTAAATGTTATTTCACAGAGAAAATCAGGTAATAGGTGCAAATGAGGCGAATGTGAAGAAACCCAGCAGCACCAGCAGCTATCTAAAATGATTTGAATGCAGAGCTTTGCCACACAGATTGGCAACTTATACCACTGGAAAGCTTAAAATTACTGTAAACTCCAGGCTACAAGCTCTTACTTTTGTCGCACACTTTTGAAACTATGTGAAATAAGGTAATGTAATGTTTGGATGTTGTGTTACCATGGTTACCAACCTGTGTTTTAGGCAGTGCATCGATTGAAACCAATAATCACGCTTGACCCGATATTATTTTCTTTTTCTTTTCCCTATAGATCACTGTGAAGGTAATTATATTAGCAGCCAGAAATTAATCGCAAATTCACAAAAAAAAATGTAACAGTGTAGATTTAAACAGATGTAAGTGTAAGTATCAGACTATAACTGGTTTTGGGAAACAGTTTACTGCCTTTGCTTACTTACAGCAAAAAGATAAATCTTGATAAATAAATTTTGCTGAAATTCAAAATATATACGCTTCTTTTGATTAATGTGGACTTGTCAAGTGTCTGCCAGGAGAATAATTCTCAGTTTAAGTTAAAAACACTAATCCAACTAGCAGTGTTTTTACTAGACAGGTCAGAATCACTCAGTTTATGGTTGAATATTCTTTATTTGACCTGCTGGTAATATACTTGTTATTGTGCTTCTTCATCATTTTCTTCTGGATTTCCTCATCCAGCTTCCATTGACCCACACTGCAAAAAAATTGAAATGTAAATAAATATTTTTTTCTTGCAATAAGTGCATTTTATACTTGAATTGAGGAGGTAATTGAGAAACTTTGCCAATGGAACAAGACAATTTACATTTAAAATAAGAAAACACAATTGCATTGTCTTATTTCAAGTAAGTATTATCTAATTATCTCATTTTAAGACTAAAAATATTCATTACATTGGCAAATTATCTTATTTAACTACTCAAATTAATGGTAAATACACTTAATTGAAGACATTTGGTCTCATTTTTAGATGGCTTTTGCAGTGCAGGGGCTGGGATCAGTTTGGCCGGATTTGCATCTGATTTTTGCTTTAAAAAAACTTCATTCTGTACCTATTGTAGTTGGAATAAAAGTATTCAACTATTCACCCCAGTTAAATAAACAGAGAGCGATTGATTTCACTCAGTAGGCACTTTATTTTGACCTTTGCAAAGAGAGAACAGTTCATTATACTGTCCTTGGTAATCAAACCTGTTCTGACCTAGACAGAGTTTGTCTCCCTTAAAATGAGGAAAAAGCTGGGAGGTTTGTGTCAGAGTCAAAACAAATCACACACACTTTGGTTAAACAATAACAATTATTGAGAAAGATTTTGGCCTGTTATGGAATAAGTAATCCTTGTATGCAAATAACTTCTCACTCAGATATTTTATGGCCTTACAGGTGAAACAGAATGAGTAAAAACATTTTTCAAAAGCATAAATAAATATATGAAACGAGATAAATCTAAATTTTCCGTCCACACTAGTCAAAGAAATACCTGATTAAACTGCACCTCATACAGAAAGCAAAACCAGTGAAACTCCTCTTTTTATGATCTAATCTAGTGTATTGTTAATCATTCATTTTTTAAATACATGTAGTAATTGGACACTGGAGGCGGTTAAAGGGCTTTTTTGATCCCCACTTTATAAAGTCCAATGTTTTCATGCCTGTGCTGTTTAAGTGGTTCACTCTATTATCAATGAACTTATATACCACCACAATCCTCTTCACATATCCTGCAGCAGCATGTAGTTTAACTCATGAGAAGACAGAAGAGTAATGCGTGCTGCGAGATGCTGCATTCACGTGCACTGGGAAATTATAAGTTTTAACCAGTTATTTAGATAGAACTCATGCTGTTGCAGCATTTTCACCAGGGGTGGCAAGGGCTTTGCTTGTGGTGGGAATTGCTACCCCGATTTATCCTGTGGCTCCGTCGTTAAAAACTCATCAGAAGAAAAAAAAAATCACGTCTTAGAGTATAATCTAATGATGAAGACTTTTTCTAAAGTGAAAGTTGCTTAGAAGAAAGGTGCATATGGATTCTCTGTCATGTTTTGGTATCATTTTGGAATGATAACCTCATGTTGGTGTGAGAGTACAATTACTATCATTATTGCAAGAAACCACTTCTGGTTCAGTGGATTGTTTACCAAGCAACATACGAAACTGTCTCTATTCGAACTGAATCACTTTAAGGACCTCACAGCTCTAAGTTAAAGATTTCCCTGTTCGTTCTGTGAAACTTTAATTTCCCAGCTACTTTGAACGTAACTAATTTCGCGGGACTTTTTTTTCTCCCGGCTTCCTGAAGCCAGAGCGAAAGTATGCAGAGAGCAGATCTGCAGCCCAGCAAAGAGCATTTTATGGCATTTTCTGCAGCTTCACTGAGCTTAAATCCATTAAATAGTCTGTAACTACATCTCCAGCGTCATGCTTTTAGTTTTTGTTTCCTTTTTCTGCATAATTTCTTCACATTCACCATAGTTCAGGTCTGCAGTGAATTCCTGGTAAGTACAAAATATCCCGTTTACGTGGAGTAGTTTGAGATAAAACCATAATGATCAGATATTATGTCTGCAGGTGTGAGGATGGTTGCATTGCCTTTACCAAATCAGTGTGAATTATTTTGCTATAAAAGTCAAGTTTGTTGGGATTTAAGTGATTTAAAGGGGGACTGGGGTGGGGGATGGGCGGTGATAAACCTAATAAAATTTTTAATTAGCTGCGAATGATTGAGATTATAAAATGGTTTGCTAAGAAAAGCATCTTCCTGTTCTGCTCTATAGCTAAAGTCGTAGGGAAATCATATTTAAATGTTAAATCAACCTGGCTTAAACATGTATATAAATGTACTCTTTATCAGACCATATAGGGCTTGGGATCCGCGTTGCATTGTGGGACGTGGCGGCCATGTTGAGGGCTACGCGAACGTAAACATAGCTCTGATACAATGTTGTTGTTGAATGAAGAGACGTAGAAGTAGAGAGAAAAAAAGATGTTAAAAAACCCGAAAAGGATCTGGAATTTACCGGGACACATTAAATAGAGAAGCCACGGACCGGTATGTTGACAAAATCAGCATTATTAATAATGACCATGGAAGATCACTACTTTTCAAGGTGCATTGTGGGAAAGTTTGAGTCCACTACTTTTTCGTCCCCTAGACATTTGAACACTCATCTTTGAATCCATTTGACTGTATGATCTGGTTGAACTGTAAAGTGTCTTGAGATGACATGTGTTGTGAATTGGCGCTATATAAGTAAACTGAATTGTATTGAAATGAATCTAAAATGGCGTAACCACTCTATAGTGCCCTATAGAGCCCTACATCTCTATAGTGCCCTACGGCGCGGTTAGGGCGGACCTTCGGACACAGCCAATGTCTTTGGCTATTCGCAGAGACCCTGCTCAATTCCTCTCATATGCGAGGTTTTTCTCAAAAGATTGGGCTACAGTTAGCTGTTTCTTAGCTGGGATTTGTTTGTTAGTCAAGTTTGTTCGCCCTGGATAACCGGCCTTTTCCCTACCGCACCGCATTATTGGCAGCCATGCTTCTGTTAACAGCTGGCTTGTTAGCTATGTGTACCGGGGAAACCTTTTCTGTCCGTTTTGAAATATGCATTTCAATACACAACCCCATTTCTTCTAATGCAACTGCATCTAAATAAAAAAACCCTATCACTGGGAACCTTGCGTCTTGCTAAGGTCTAAAAGCTGCAATTCACTGTTGTTTTTGCTATCTTGGCAGCAACTCGTTCTTGTAACTGACACCTGCTCCCATCCTCCATCTTCCTACTACACTTGTCTTTGGGTAGTAATGTGTTCTGGACATCCAATGGAAAACATCACCTATGGTCAATGATTGTCAATATTCTTCTCTCCCACTGTGCAAAACACATGCCCACTACTGTGTAGCCTGTGTAATTTTTTACTTACTTATATGGTCAGTATATCTCTGCAGTGCAAGTGCAATAATCCATGTCAGCCACTGTGTAGTCTCTCCATTAGCTCTCTACTGTGCAGATATTTTTATAATTGAGGGAAACATATTCCAGGATATTATAACTTTTTTTTTTTTTTTTTTTTTTGGTACTATATACATTTTTTCTGTGGTATATTATATCTTTAATGGCATCTGGCTTTAACTCTTTGTGCTCTATATAAGCTACTGGAACTAGAATTTCCCTGACCGTAATTTCCCTGTACTGTAATTTTCAGACTATTAGCCGCACCTGAATATAAGCCACAGAGGCTAAATTGCTTGATTTGTACATATACAAGCCGCACCGGACTATAAGCCGCAGGTTTTTTATCTTTAACACAAACTGTTTTGCGCTTGCAATGTCCGTCTTTCTCGCTGTCGTTCTGTCTCGTACCACTCGCGGTAGAAGTCTGCTTCCGGAGGACCTCCGCATTCCCGCGGGCGCGGCTACCGTACTTGTGTGTTGAAGCAAATGTGATGTCAACATGGTGGATGGTAAAATCCATAGATTTAGGTATTACCCTAGTGGCTGTTAGCTGTAAAAGTCCATAGATAAGCAGAATTGTTATATAAGCCGCAAGTTCGAAAAATGGGGAAAAAGTTGCAGCTTATACTCCGAAAATTACGGTAATCCCAAGGGATAAATAAAGTTGAGTCTAAGTCTAAGTCTGATATGCACCAAAATACACGTCATCATAGCAGGCAGAATTATCGCTGATGTTGCTATGAAACTTAGTTTGACGATTTATTTTTCCCTACCGAAAAAAAAAAAATCCCCACCCACAGTTGCCAGAAATCCGCCGCTACGCCGGAGAACTTTAAACCCGTCAGTTCAAAACAACAGATGATTTTATTCCTGTTTTGAGAACAAACTTCTCACTCACCTGTAGTTATGATGTTGTTGCTTTTGTAAAGCCAAAAATGCGGCGTTATGAAAAAAAAAAAATATAGATTTAACTTTTCTTAAATTGCCTGCAGCAAAAAATTCAAATCAATAATTGAATCAGGGTTTTTTTGCGGAGGCCTGTTCATTGTTTAATCTGAAGCACTCCTGAACTTCTCAGCCAGAGCATCTAAAGCTGTGATTCTGTTTGTTCTAGAGATGCACCGATTCGATACCTGGATCAGTTATCGGTGATTTGACAGATATCAGAGATCCAATCCGGTGCACTTTACATCAAACTGTCATTTCTTACTTTTTGCTGCTTATTTTTAATAAATAAAACAAGTAAATTTATTCCTGTCTTAATCTGTTCCCTTTTTTTTAACATTGTTTTAGGCAAGACTAAAGCTTTCAGGCACATGGCAAGATATATGGTTCATCCATTCAGCGGCTGAATCGGATCGGTATCGGATATCAGCCCAGGTATCAGATTGGATCGGTGCGTCTCTAGTTTGTTCCCAGGAAGAAGATGGTGAGTCCTAATCTTCTATAGCTGCTATTGAACGACCTCATGTTTTTTTTGATCCCTGATTTATCATTCTGCCTGCAGATGAAGATGGCTTCTAGGAAGAGAAAGAAAACAGAAAATGAGAAGGACATCAGGACCCATCCTGATCAAGAAAATGTTAGTCATCAGTACTTAGTGTTTGTTATGTAAATATATGCATCTTTCATAGGTTTAATGAGCAGCTGCAGACCATTATGACCCTTTATTCTGTTTTTTTTTTTTTCACTAGATCCCTCCTGGAGAAGCCCACAGCCCACCCAATAAAAGATCAAAGGGAGATCCATTTCTCCAGGTGAGCCAATTAAATGTAATGTTAGTTTTTTGTTAATTGTATTTGATTAAACTAGTCCTCAATCATTCATATGATCAAATAAAATGATATTAAAGAATTCCAGCTACAGAGACTGTATTTTAATTTGTTTAAGCCTTTATAAGGCCCTCAGTGAAATACTTTAAAAATCAAAATAGTGTTATTGGAATCCAGGACAAAACCTTATTACCCTTTGTAACATAAAAAATATGGAGATTCTTATTATATTACATAGCTTGAAAAAAGTATCTGTGACGAACAGGAATGAATAGAAGTAGCTTGTTCTTAGTTGAGCCCTTCAGCACTGCTTCTTCCCCTCCAGTTGCTTTTAACAACTCACTCCGTTCCCCCATTCAAACTTTCTCCGAACAAATCAGAATGTCTGAGAGGCAGGCTGTGTGTAGGTGTGTCCTATCAGAGACGTAAATAGCGCTGATTCGATCAGCCAATAGCGCAAAGCGTTGGCCATTGCTATGTCTGTCTCTACCCGATCCGCCCCGGAAGCATGATCCGTCCTGCGCATGCGTGATATGAATAGATATACATCCGGGTGTCCATAAATAATGTAATTATGGTGGTAAAACTACTTATTTCTATCCTAAACTCACTAAAGAATACTAATACACATCTTTAAAAAAACGTTTTTTTGCTTTTTTTGGGCCATTTTTGTTCTTTTTACATTTTCTTCCTTAAACTGCTTTTCTGACGACCTCATCGGACATGCTTAGAGCAGTCCTGCAAAATGTAATTAAACCATGTTTATCTGCATGATTTAGATGCCGTGCTAAATAGCATAAGGTTAAAACGACATGAAAACATAAATCTCAAAAAGACTTGATTTATGTGTAAAACCAAAGTCGAAAAAGTTAGCCACTGGAAGTAGCGTAGGATCACATTTCCGGTGCAGATCGGGAAAAGACGAGTGATAAAACAGAAAGCATTTTAAGGCATTTATTTTCTCAGGAAATACATTATTAACCTTTAACATATTATATTTTAGTACATTTACTGTTTTTGGGGAGGGAAAAACTTCATTTAGGTCTTTTTAACAAAATAAAATCGAGGGCGACCCTGGCAATGTGCTGATGGCTCATTGGCAGGACGGATTGTGCTTCGGGGACTGATCAGGTAGTGACAATGTCTGAAGAGAAATGCAGCCCTTTCCTCAAAGTTAGAGGGACGTAGAATCCAAATTAAGGTTTTTGTGTTCGAACGTGAGGTAAATCAGCCTAATGCTGCGATAAAAATCTTTTACAGTGAAACTAAGTATCCGATCTATGCAAAGTATTAAGAAGAAGACTCATACAAATTCCGTATTCTGGTTTTTCATTATACTTTCTTATATGGACTACACCTATTACAGTTTTATAACAGTTTTATGGTACTTATTAGCATGTTATGCTCTAAACCTATTACCATAAAAATACAGTAATGAATGTCATTAACTTTTATGGTTTAAAGGGTGTTTTTTAAGGAATAACCATTTTTAGAAACTTATTCTTAACTAGATCCTACAAAATTCAAAGATTTGCTCCCTTCACCCTTGATTACCTTTAATAATAATTTAAATTATACAGAAATACCATATGACAAAGGGGGAACATAACTTGCATTTTGTAGAAGAGGGTGTTCTGTTTTTGACCGTGTTGATGCAGAGATTCTCAATTTTCGTGGAAAAAAAATATTCAACTATTCATCCTAGTTAAATAAACGGATATCGATGGATTTAATTCAGTCGGCACATTTCTTCATATCTTTACAAAGAGAGAACAGTTCATCATACAGCACTCATGGCACAGCATTCTGCTCTGTTCCGATCTGGGCAGGGTTCGTCCCCCCCTACTTACTACAATGGAAAGCAGTTAGAGTCATAACAAATTACAGACACTTTGGTTAACAGTAACATGTTATGAATAAACCTTGAGAAAGAATCTGGATTGTTATGGGAAGAAGCTATGTCTGGTCTACAAACACCATCCTGCAGAGAATTGTGTGGCCTTGAGAGAGAAACAGACTGAGTGAGTGATAGTGAGTAAATAGGATAATTAATATATAATAGAAGAGAGATAAAAATTTTCCGACAACATAGCCCAGTACATCGCCCGACTAAAAGGTTTAAAAGGTTTTTAGTTAAGCAGCTTGGATAGTTATCTAAATTAAACTAAAAGATTTAACAGCAACATATATGTTTTTTATATGTTCCAGATTAATACATCAACCCCTCTGGGAGTAAGGGACACCAATGGTGGAAGTTCTATGGTGAGTAAAACCTGAAAAAGCTGAATATTGTATTTATAGGTTAAAAATCTTTAAATGAATTCGTAAATCCTGATTTTCTGCAGACCAAACATCAAAATCATCAACCTCTTTCAGTCAACTCCAACATCAAGGGGAAGAACAGGATAACGGGCAAGGACGGTTTAAAACTAGATCAGAAAGCCCAGCTTTTAGTGGAAAAGCTGCAGAAAATCTCCCTGTCAACAGAAAAGGTCGCCAACCATTTTCCAAAAGCATACAAAACACGATCGCCGACTTATAACCGAGAAAAGTCGCAAACATTCCGTAAAGGCATCGGAAATGTAGGGAGTGTGACTGGAGAGGGTTCGAGGAGAGCAGCTGAAACACAAAATCGGGAGGTGATTTCTGAAGTTCCAGATGGGAACCAATCATTGGAGAGCAGATCTACAGATCCTTGTAAACTAGAAACACCAAACCTCAAGACCGAAGAGCATCTCAGTCAAGAGGAATGGGAATCCAATTGTGAAGAAATAGGGAGATCTGTTTGTAAAATCATTGTGGATGGTGTGTGTCAGGGAACAGGTTTTGTTCTCGTCGATAGGCTTATCATGACAAGTGCACATCTGTTCAGAGATCCTGAGGATTTAAATAAGCTGCTGGTTCCCAAAGAGGTCAATGTTGTCTTTGACCAAAAAACCAACAAGAGAAAACCTCATCAGGGACCAGGTGATAGTGGCAGTGACCCGGTTCTGGATGAAGCAGGAGACGAGGAGGAAACCAGCAGCTTTACTGTGGAGGAAACATTTGTCGATGTTGATGTAATGCTGGATTACGTGGTCCTTGCACTCATACCTAAAGGCCAAGGAGCAAAGCAACCCCAAGTACCACCAGGTCTCCTAAGGAGATTCGGACCAGTGCTGGGGAGTGGGGATATCTGTATCATCGGGTATCCTTACGGAGGAGAGAAGACTTTTAAATACACATCTATAATTAACAAAGAAAATAGGGAGAAGGTTAAGGAAGAGCATTTAGCTCAATACAAAGGCTTGATTATCACAGAGAATTCTGTCAGATTTATTGCAGAGAACCAAGGATTTAATGACATAATAATGGGTGGATTCAAAGCAAACCAGGTGACAACTTATTGTTCTTCCATGTACGAAGGAACATCAGGCTCTCCGGTTACCGGTAGGAACAGGCGCCAGGGCACAGTTATAGCGAAGCACGTTGGCGGGTATGGCTATGGGTTTCCAAAGATTACAAGGAGCGTGATTGAGTTTGCCCATCCACTGATCACCATATTTAAAAAGCTTGTGGATAATCTAAAGGAAAATGGACAAGAGCAATGGCTGGATAAAGTCAGGTTGGAGGTGCAAAAAAACGTCCACCTTAAAAAGTTAATTAAATAGTTTATTTGAGTTGATAAGAAAGCACTGAAAGCAGACTTCTGAAAAAAAGCTGTCTGCTAACTCAACAAGCAGAGTTAGATACTATTTCTGTCAGGTCTAAGCACCTAAAACATCATACATACATACAGGGAAAGAAAGAAGGCACAGGGACAATTAATTTAGTTACTCGCGAGGAGAATAGGAAGGAGACTGCGGAGTTTACAATCTCCACCCCACTCTGCAGTCTTCAGCTTTCTCCTTGCTATTTATTGAAGAAAAGGGGATGTCCCTAATTACATCAGCTGAGGTTTAA